TTAGGGTTTAGGGTTAAGAGTTTTGAAGCCTTCTACCAAAAAGAATGTGAGAAGGGGCTTGGGGGTGCAGGGTACTTGGCCCTTAGCCCATGCCGCTGCGTTCCTCTTGTGTTCCTTCTCTGACGTGCTTGTTTTTCTTTGGGTGGAGGGGTGCTTGGAAGCTCGCGAGTTTCGAAACGTTTCAACTATAGAGGTCTGCCTAACCTGCAATAGTATCCCCTTATAGTCCGTACATAACTATTCAACCGTATACCGGAAAACCTCTATTCTAAGTAGAAAGGCATATTCGAATCTTTCTATTGCATGAAGGTGCCGATATTTCACGACTGCGCTTTAAATCACGGTTCCACAAAAAGATTGCTCGAGGATCCTACTTAAAGGCTCAAAGACACTTAAGAAGCAGGTCATGCGTCGGGTTATAAGGACAGTATCACTAGACAGGATGCTTGCACCCTACTCTAAACTCTAGACCTTCAAGTGCTTGGAGGGTCGTGGGACTTCGCAGGTAGGGAATGCATAGACTTGTATAAGTGTATCCTACACGGGACTTTAGCCGTAAATGCCCGATAAACCAAACTTATTACAGGGTTTAGGGCTTGGGGTTNNCGGTTAATATAGGAGCCTTAACAATTAGAATAGGGTTCTGGGGTTCCTAATTATGACTATAGTATAATATACCCCCCAAACCATATTCTAATTCTTAAGGCCCCTACAGAAAGGGTTTAGGGCTAAGTCCAAGAGCCCGATGAGGACGATTCATGGATGGGCTTCTGCGGCGCGCACTACGTGATTCGCTCCTCGCTTTGACTGCTATGCACATCATCACCGCCATCACCCTCTTGCTCCTCCTCCTCCTCCTCATCCTCCTGGTTTAGGGTTTAGGGTTTAGGGTTTAGGGTTTAGGGTTTAAGCCCTAAGCCCTAAACCCTAAACCCTTTTCATCCAGCCTAAACCCTAAGCTCTAATCCTTAAATCCCACAGTCTAACCCTAAATCCTAAATCCTCTACCCTAAACAGGAGCTAATAACAATAAACCTAAACCCTAAACCCTAAACCCTAAACCCTAAACCCTAAACCCTAAACCCTAAACCCTAAACCCTAAACTCTAGTCTCTGGTCCTTAGGTCCTACACTCTAAACCCTAAACCGAAGCTCTCAGGTTTTTCCACGGAGCCTTGTGCCGTGCCTGCCGGAGGCCCCCGAGGACCTTGGGGTTAGGATTTTAGGGTTTAGGGTTTAGGGTTTAGTAGGGTTTAGGGTTTATGGTTTGGGGTTTGGAGTTTGGAGTTTAGGGTGTCATGCAAAGTCGTGCGCTGGGGCATAAAGCGCCGCGGTCCGCTCGA